CTCTAGAATTTGAGAGGCATTTTGAATTTTCTAAAAAGTATTTTTTCACCCCATATGGTGGAATAAGAAATCCCCTTAAAATAATAGAATGGATCACATTTCAACGTGTAATCTCAATAAAAAATAGTAAAATGTCTAAGGACCCATTCTGAGTAGGCGTGGTTAATTTTTTTTCTTTTCTTTTTCTTAAGAAAAGTGTTTTTTCTTTTCTTTTCTTATGTCAAAAAATAGTGTTGATTTAATTTTTTACTTAATTTTAAAATACTTTATCACTAAAATTTAAATAAAAATATAGATTTTTAAGTTTTTATTTTAAAGTTAAAACACCACCGTTAATGGTCGTCAATCATTACTATTTCAACCCCCATTATGATTATTTGTGATCACTGCTAACCACCGTTGTCGATCATCGATCACTTTAACAAGTATCTGATCATTATTCTAACAATCATTATGACCACTACTGACCACATATGCTCTTTAATGTGACTACCGCTCTGACCACTGTCAACCACCACTTAAATCACCACCAACTATCAATATGATCATGATGAATGACCATCGTCAACTACTACGTTAATCATCGTCGACTATCGCTTTGACCATTTTCATTCAGCAATTTGACTATCACACACAGCCATGATCATGATGAATGACCATCGTCAACTACTACGTTAATCATCGTCGACTATCGCTTTGACCATTTTCATTCAGCAATTTGACTATCACACACAGCCATGATCATGATGAATGACCATCGTCAACTACTACGTTAATCATCGTCGACTATCGCTTTGACCATTTTCATTCAGCAATTTGACTATCACACACAGCCACTCTAACCAACGTAAATCACCTCTTGTACTTGCCACCAACTACCAACATTTTGATAATAAAAAATCACCAATTTAACATGCATTTGTCGACAATCACAGGTTTTAACCCCTATTATTAGAATTACTATTAAAAAAATATACATTATATATTTACAATAATTTAATTATTTTGTAAGTCAAGTTTAAAATATGTTTATCATAAATATTTATTTTTATGTTATAAATTGATTTTGCAGGTACCATTGCCTAACGCCAAACCAGACTTGAGACACGTTATAAAATCTCTAGAAATTAGCATATTTGGTTGATCTGACACACTTATGTGAGTGACTACTATCTTAATAAAGATCAGATTTTAATTAAGAGTTTATCAAAATATAAATAAGAGACGAAAAGTGTATTTAAATCTAAAGTTTTAAAATAAATTTTAGTGAAGACAACACTTAATTTAAAAAAAAAAATATTCAATTACTATTAACAAAATAAATATTTTATTGAGAGCATTTACCTCCGATTAGGTGGACATGTATCCATCCCGATCTCACCACCATCCTTCTGTTTACATTCAAGAATCATCACACTTATCTAAAAGAACAAGTATCATATTTGTAATTGAACCATCGATTATTCTCGAGAGCAGGATGTTAATTGGTATGTATCGGCTTAATGTTATATTAGTGCATAATAAATATGATGTCCCACATCCATATTGCATTGAATAAATTTGGCACACTTGACAATAATTACGTATGAAGCACGAAGTGTGAAGGGAGACATATAACATAACCAATATGTGCTTGCCATGTGGGAAAGATCATCATATTATAAGGCCTGCTCAACTTTGAGTCGGGAAGCTGACTCAACACTGAGTTTTGTAACAGATTTGGATAAGAATCACGTATATGGATCTCCGAGATTCCAAACCACTACATTCACGAATTTTCTTAGCTAAAGACGAAGTAGAAGAGATCATCCTCCTATTAGGAAAGAATATGAATTTGTTCACCCGGAGCCCATCAGACATGCTCGAGATAAGTCCTAGTGTTATTTGCCATTTTATCACCCTCAATGCTGCTACCAAACTAGTCGTTTAGATGAAGAGAAAATTTTGTGAGTAAAAGAGAATATCAGTCTAAGAAAAGGTAAAGAAACTAAAAGAAGCATGATTTATCGGCAAGATGAAAAATTCTACCTAATTGGCTAATTTGGTAATGGTGAAGAAATCTTAAGGAAAGTGGAAAATGTGTGTAGATTTTATTGATCTCAACATGGTGTGCTTTAAATATCCATCCATTGCCTAACATAGACACACTAATTGGCGGGTGTTAAGGGTACACGATGTGTAACTTCATGGACGCCTATCCAGAGTACAATCAAATCCAAATGAAACCTTTGAATACGCCCATAATGACTTTTATGACAAATAATCGCACTTAATACTATGAGGTAATGCCATTTGGTATCAAGAACACTGACACCACCTATCAAAGTATGATGGAAACAATGTTTGAAGACCATATAAGGCATAATTTTAATGTCTACATAGATGATATGGTCGTGAAATTTCAAGACGAGAAAAAACGTTGCAAATACTTGGAATATATAACTAAGCTTTGTTAGAAAGTATAATATACCCTAAATCCGATCAAATATTCGTTTGGGGATCAAGTAGGAGAATTAATAGGCTTTATGTAAATAGAAGGGGACAGAGAGGTCAACTTAAATAAGTGTCAAGCAATCTAAATAAAATGTTTTGGTACTTATAGGGAACCTCAACCATCTTTATCCTAAGTAGACATTAGTATAATATGTAGTCATAATTAGCGTGACAGAGTATCAATAGCTTTGCCTGTGATCATATAAGACAGTGGAAAACCTAGATTGACCGGTCCTTCCTAAAAAATATTTAATCATTTTCATCATTAATAACTCACTCAATTTTCTAATTAGTTCCATTGATCATGAAACTAACCATTTTTTCTATTTGGACAACTACAATCAAATTCAATCTTAAATTCATAGATAACCATCGCCCCAGAGGACACCACCCTTAAATACTTTTCCCTTAACCACTTTGCTTTTACATGTCTCGTGCTCGAGGGACAGTGTGAACCATCACGAATTTTCCTTAAAACTAATTCGCCCTTACAGATCTTGCTTAAGGAATTGTGAATTGCCATAACTTCGTTTTAAAATTGTTTCACCTTTACATGCCTCGTGTTTGAGGGATTGTGAACTATCATGACCTAATATGCACTTGGACAATTATGTTTTCCTTTAAATACTTTGCCTATAAATGCCTCACGCTTGAGGGAGTGTGTATAGTTATGAACATCATGATCCGAAGCATTGTCGATCATTTGCTTCATATTTTCATATTTGGGGGACTGTATATTGTTATAAACATGATATCTCACATCTATATTGCATATAATAAATTCAATCCACTTGTTAATAACCACATAGGAAGCATGAAGGAAGGAGGCAAAATTGTCTCAAGCTTTTGAGAAGTTTTGTGTAAGAAGTTGAAGTTAACTTCAGTTGGATCGTGAAATTTTTTAAAACATCCTATTTAACTATAATTAATCATGAAAAATGTGTACGAAAGCCATTTTTAACATAATTTAATCATAAAAAATGTCCGCCGTGTACTCCCTCAAAGACAACCTTAGATGGAAGGTGAAATCTAACCTATCAAATATGTGCTATCCATGTGGACGAGGTCATTGTATTTTGAGATCTACACCACTTTAAGTTGAAAAGCTAACTCAACCTTGAGTAATGTCACAAACATGGATAAGAATCACACGCCTGTATCCAATACAAATGAGGAGCAAGAAAATAATTGATAATAGAAACATAACTAATGATCAAAGTTATAAAAGACAGATTAAAGCCAAAATTGATATAAAGAGACGAGGAAAAAAAATCATAAGAGGAACCCAAAAAAAACATATATCATCACTTAGAAACAGATCATTAACTCTAAAAAACTTGTACTTCCTATATGTATTATTGGACTCAATGCAAATACAGTTAAAAATAAACATGCTAGAGATTGTCATACATTGCGCGTCCTCATTCAATGTAAAACTCAAAACTTGTAAAGAAAAGAAAAACATTGTGACTGTTAGGTCATTGACTTATGTAAAACTGTGATTATTGCAGTGCTAAATCTACTTGTAGAATATTATAGCTCAATCGTAGCAGTTTATTTTTATTTTGTTTTCTTAATTAATCCTGTCATCATGGTTTGAGTTTAAAATTGTGTATTTATTTGAAAATCTCAAGCTTATGTATGATCATAGACTCTGGGCGATAATTTATTATCCCATCCCATGAGATGTTTTATTTTTCCCGATTGATAATGTTGACAGAAAACTAAATACACTTCCATAAGAGTAAAAAAAAAACTAGTGTGTCAGCAATAATTAATTGGGTTTCCATTATTCTTGCATTTATCTTAGTCCTCTCAACTTATTTGAGATAGCACCTGCAAACTCTTCCTCAGAGAGCTGTATAAGTTTTTTAATCCACAGATTTAGATATTATCTTGATCTTTGAGAAAAATGTAGAACCTTTATAAACTCCATAGGCAAATGCCAGGTGTTAGTGGTTAATTCAATTTCTTATACCTCAATCATTCTTTTCAAGACAACTTTTTTTTTCCAAACAAAAACCTTGAGAACAAACACTTGTTAGCAAGATCCAGCTTCATAAATCTGCTAAATTTTGACGAAACAGTCAAATACAGGTTAAATCTTTCAGTCTTTAGTGACCATCTCTAGTGGTTTTCCACCCTATAAGTCACCACTAAAGTCACGATTGAAATGTATAACAATATATAGGAAAAAGAAACTGTTGAGTATGTTTAGTATAGCACATGCAAATCAAGAAACATAACCTAGATGGAATATTTATCACAAACAAGCACCTGACCCAAATAAAAAACTAGCAGTTTGAGTCATTAATCGATTACATCAAATAAACAAAGAACCCTTTTAACTAGTTAATAAACCCATAATGGTGGTAAAACTTGCAATTATGCAATTTTATTAAGACAAAAGAATGGATGCAAAAAAAATCAAGAGTCCATAATGATGAGGTTCTGTTGGGTCTGAGTTACAAAAACAACCACCTCCTCCATTAGAAGAAATAGTCAAGTCATTCCTTCTTTCCTATTCCATGAGACATATTATAGATCCCTCGTCCCTGAACAAATGTATAAAGTGTTGTTTATAAGATATGGTTATAAACAAGTGAATATGCACCCTAAACTTCAAGTTGATAAAGTCAACAGCTAAATATGAAGAAAAAAATCATATCACAATTGAACTTACAATCATAAAAAGTGAAGCCGCAGTAAAAGCAAGTGGAATTGCAACAGACGTAATCTTGTCATAGGGCCCTTTCAAGTGAGTATGCTTGCGCATATTCTGGAAATACTTTTGCTTCTCAAAAAGCTTCTCTCGTTGTCTGAATGGTGCTTCGGTTGCTTGTGTCATCCTGCACATGGCAAACAATTATCTCATAAATGCTTTTCCCAAATATGTAAAAGGAGGTGAAAAAATAAGAGCGCATTGCATGCAATGAAGTGGAACAGAACAAAACATATCTAGCATCACAATCCATTCTCCTTTCCTTTTCTCTCCATATAAAAAAATTGAGGTAAAATCAGAGAGCCTTGAACTAAGGCCAAGAGACGAAAGACAAAAAACAAAAATATCACGATGGAAAGAGTAAGACCACACTTCATTTTTTTACTAAATGTACAATCATACAGACGATAGAGAAATAAGTAGTGCCCCTGGGCATGAACTATGTATTAATTTACGTTAGGAGACAAGCTTCATCAAAAAAGCTATATACTTTTTGCACATCCCTCTCTACAGAAAAAATGGATACCCAGGTAGTATTAGTATTTATACATAAGCTCGTGTAATTTCTTAGACATATTAAACCTGAAATATAGGACAAAACCCTCAACCAAAATTGAAGACAGTTCTACCAAACTTGGTATGATAGCACATTGAAAAGTAATAGTTATTTAATTTTCTAATAGGTATAAGTCCCTAAATTGTGAAAAACCTTTGTGGAACAAGTCTTGACTCTTGCTACCTCTTTCTAAACTCAATAATACAAAAACAGTTCAGTTGCAATAACATAGAAAACAGAAACTAAGCAAAAACATATTTTTAAACACTTGTTCTTTAAATATCACTAGTTTGCTTCAATTTGACTCATTGCCTTTACCTACTTTTTCAAGGCTAAATCATAGCAGCTAGTATTTCACTCACTGAGTAGGGTTACTGCAGACCAACTCTGCAGTTCCCTCTAAACTTTGATTTTCAGATATATGCAGAACTTGAGCTACCAAGGAATGATTGACTTAAGACTTTCAAGTCATGACACTTCTACCATGTGAAAATTGTATGCAAAATCTTGGCATCAACTTCCAAACCTAAGAATTATTCCATCTTAACTGAGAACCTCCAAAGCTAAAGGAGCCTATTCCTTCTACATTTTTCCCATGACACCAAGCCTAAAAACCCATTGAACAGAACCACAAGTTCTGCATATTTATACAGAATTTGCAAGCTTAAACCAAGGGAAGTTTTAGTGAGAATCACAGAATCAAGTGATATGAATTGGCATAAAGTTGCTAGTACTTTAGATCCACACCTAAGCATTTGGAAGCCTAGGCATCCAACTCCTAATTTCACCAAATTCCACTTTCTTGTCCAGTCATTTAACAGAAATTATAAAGAAATCTATAAAAAGATTTAGACTTTCAAAATCATTCCTAAGAATGTATAGAGATGAAAGAAGCTGTAGACTTCCAAGTTCCTTATCCTTGACATAGAATCAAACAATAATTATTACACAATTGAACCATCTGAAAGGAACATCATAAATCCATTCATGTCGTCGTCTAAGCTAGCAAATTAGAGGATGGATAAGCCATGATATTATTGTACAAGAAGGATAACGAATCAATCATACACTTTTCATTCAATAAAAATGCAACTAACTGGATATTCTTGTAACTAAAACTCCATTTTTATGTAATTTTCATGCTTGTCAGAAGTTGACAAATAATTCTAACATGAACATCTACCAAAACAGCATGAACAAACATAGGCACCAGTAACTTTCTCGAATTTATAAACATGTCTCCAGGGTTGAGCAGTTCTAAATAAATTTAAGGTCATCATAAATCATATTCCATTCTAAGACTTAAGAAATAGTTTTGCTAACTCAGAAACAACTTATCCAGTACTCAAATATATTTGAAACAAAAGCATGAAAAAAATGTTAAAAATTCACCCATTACCAACCCATCAAAATTAAAGATCCTTATACCAAATCAAACAAACTCCATTTTCCCTCAAATTTAACACATTTGTTCATTTTTTATTTTATATACTTGGTCAAAAATGTAACAAATAAAAACAGAAATCATTCAGATTCAAAATCTGCCCATAAATTTCCAACAATAATTGTTTGTGGGATATAGTCCCACTGGATGGAACAAAATCTCTCAACTAAATAACCAAATTCAATATACAAGACCCTAACACACAAACAAACAGTGTGCCTCACCCTAAAATTCAAATCCCAAACATTTCCACCAAATTCAAACAGAAGCAAGCATGATCATCACAATAATCCATAAATTTGCATGCTTTCAGCAACAACATGTTCTAAATCATTCCGATCCATACGTAAACTAAAATAACTTATACAAAACTCGAAATCAACAAAGGGACGGAATCTAATTGTCTTAAATCCAGTAGACACAAACAATATTGAAGATTTCAAGCAATCTATCACTATAGTATAGCGAGAAAACAACAACATAATCAAATATTCAAGGTACACCGGTAACTTTGCAAAACCTAATTTTACCGAAATCCCTAGATCCAAAAGGTAACGTGGATACGCACACAAGAAGAGAACTCACCTGATTGAATATCAAGGTATGAATGAATTTTTGGAAACGAAACCCTAGAATCGTCGCCTTTCTTCCAACGTCTATGCGCAAAAGTATAATGTCGTGACTGAAGAATGGAATTGCAAATTAGACAGTCTTTCGATTTTGTTATACCTATTCTACCCTTAGTTCAATATTAAATGACCAGCCTATCCTCCAATCTGTTGGGTTATATAGCTAATGGGCCTTGAACTTGGGTTTTTCCCTTTTTCTTTTTAGTTAAAACTAGCGTCTAGACGCTTGTCCGTTTTTTTAAATGCACACATGTAAAAATATAAATGATATTTTTTTTTATTTAATGTTAATTTTAAATAGAAGTTATGTAGGAAGTTAATAGCAGAAAGTTATGTAAAAAAGTATGTGAAAGATGATAGTAGTGGTTTCAATGGAAGTTATTATGTAAGTTACACATTAAAGCAATGGTAAAATTGGTAGAAAAATAAGCTACACCAAAACTAAATTTTTCCTTTATATATGTTATAGATTATAGGTTATAGATAAATGATAGTATCTCTTACTTTCTTATTAGTTACCATAGAAGTTACAATTGAGGTAATAATTTAATTTGACGTTGATAGTAATAGTATGTTTGTTCATGAGTTTAGACTTTTAACATCACAAAGGATCTATCCCGGGTAAATGGTGAACTATTGGAAAAGCGAGATCTCACATTATCAAAAAATTCATGTCTGGTACACCAAAGAACAATCTCCATATGTTGAGTACAACAACCAAATAAATTAATCATCAGAATGAGGATTGCAATGAGGTATTTTATACTTATAAGAATTTCATATCTTTGGGACCGAGGAAAACATAAAGATATAGAAGGTAATCAAAATAGAGTATACAAACAATTTAATAAAATCGACGATGGAGAGATGATGAACAGATGCGACATAGGAAGTTACAAAATTGAAGGATAACATATTCTTCTTATTCTTCATTAGAACACACATAAATATGAGAACAACAAACCCTTTATGTAATGCAATGAATGAGATTTCAGAGAATCAGTGCAGACTTAGGGCTGGAAATGAGTCGAGTCGAGTCGAACTCACCTCAGCTCGACTCGACTCGTTAAGAATTGCTTCAGCTCAAATCTCGGTTCAAGTTCGACACGAAATTTTTTTTAAGCTCAAACTCGACTCGCTATAAGTTCACGAACAGTTCGGTTCAACTCGTTAGGTTCATCTCATTAGGTTCAGCTCACATGGTTCACGGACTTAAAAGCTATTTTTTTAAAATCTATTTTTTTAATATATTTGATATTTTAAATTAATATTTTTTTTAAAATAAAATATTAAAATAAAATAAAAGTTATCATATTGAAATTTAACTTTGTCTCAGAAATCTACTAATTCAAAATCTACACAACTTTCAAGAGATACATTTGAGAGTCTAATTCAAAAACTACTAAATTGAAGATTTAATTTGTCTAAGATTTGGAATAAATATTTAAACTTAATCTTAAAAACAGTATAATTCTTCTCATATGTAATCGAGTTGACTCATGAACCTAACGAGTCGAACTATGTATAGTTCAAGTTCAGCTCATTTAGTTAACGAACTTAATTTTTCGCTCATACTCAACTCATTTGGTTCATGAACCTAGTTCAACGATTTAATTGTCGAACCGAGTTCCGAACTATTCTCGAGTTAGATCGGTTCATTGTCAGCCCTAAGTGCAGTATAAATGAAAGGATAAGAAATGATCGTATGCATAAAGGTGTTTAATGAATTTAAGAAATTTCGGAAATATATTTTCGGAATTTTTCCGAAGCTATATTTCTGGAATAGATGTATTCATAAAATTGGGGTCTAACTAAAAAAAACGAATGAAATGTGTGTATTATGGTGTGTCTGGAGATATATCTCTTAAAACAAGAGGTATTTTTGGAAATTTGCGAGGTGGCTAAGAAATATATAGGGTGGAAAAAGAAATCCTCAAATAAATAAGGGAGTTGTTATTTCCAACTTTTATTTCCGCTCCCACCACTGTGAAAAGTCACAATTGCGCCTAGCACTCAGAGATGTCTTCGGACGTATCTTTTTTAGACATTTTTCAACACAAAATGGTGAGACACTCTAATTTTGCAAAAATAAATTCGAAGATGCATCTCTGTATATGTAAAAGATGAGTTCTAAGATGTATCTTCGTAAACACCATTTATTAAAAAATCACTGGGTGGTTTGGAGATGCATCTCTAGATACTTTTGTTTCATATCTTCGTGCCAAATCTTCCCTGTTTTTCCTTCTTCATTTTATAAAAAAAACTTCTCATCCTCTCAAGCTTTTGAGCTCTGACGTTCGTTCAAGCGTCTCTCCCTAGCAAACTTCTACCATTATAGTTATTTCTCCTCCTTTCCAGCATCTCATATTGTCAAGCTTCTACTTCTCATCAATTTGATTTGGTAAGTTTTTCAAAATGTTATCTCTTTTCATGTTTTGATTTGTAGTTAGTTGTTTAAGCTACATTAGTTGTTCTAAGTACATTAGATACTAGTGTA